TGTGTTGGACTACAGCGGCTACTCACCAATGCACTGGGCTTCATACAGTGGTAAGGACCCCTCCCCACCTCTGCTGGGGCTGCTGGTGGGGAGGAGGGAGCCGGGAAGAGCTGGGTTATCCCTCTGCTTATCCCTCTGCTTTGGGAGCCAACAGCCCAGCAGAGGAATCATAGAGTCATAGAATTGCCCAGGCTGGAAGGGACCCCCAAAGGGCATCTCGTCCCACCCCCCCGCAGTCAGCAGGGACACCCCCAACTAGACCAGGTTGCCCCATCGAGCCTCCCCTTGAATATCTCCAGGGAAGGGGCCTCAACCACCTCCCTGGGCAACCTGGTCCAGTGCTCCACCACCCTCACTGAATTTCACTGAATTTCACTGAATTTTTAGAGTTGGAAGGGACCATAGAGATCATCTAGTCCAACTCCCCTGCTGAAGCAGGATTGCCCAGAGCTTGTCAGAGCACGTTACTCAGGAGCATCCAGGCGGGTCTTGAAAATCTCCAAGGAAGGGGACTCCACACCCTCCCTGGGCAGCCTCTTCCAGGGCTCTGCCACCCTCACCGTGAAGAAGTTTCTCCTCAGATTTGAGTGGAACCTCTTCTGGTCCAACTTGTGCCCGTTGCCCCTCGTCCTCTCCCAGTGAAGAACCCTCTCCTCATCTCCAGTCTCAAGCTGTTCCCCTCCAGCTTGAAGCCATTGCCCCTCGTCCTGTCACTGCAGCCCTTTCTAAACAGGCTCTCCCCAGCCTTCCTGTAGCCCCCCCTCAGGTACTGGAAGGCTGCTCTTAGGTCTCCCCGGAGCCTCCTCTTCTCCAGGCTGAACAACCCCAGCTCCCTCAGCCTGTCCTCGCAGCAGAGGTGCTCCACCCCCCTCATCATCCTCGTGGCCCTCCTCTGGACCCTCTCCATCAGGTCCATGTCCTTCTTCTATTGAGGGCTCCAGCCCTGCACACAAGACTCCAGGTGAGGTCTCACCAGAGCAGAGCAAAGTGGCAGAATCCCCTCTCTGGACCTGCTGGCAACGCAGCTTTTCATAGAATCATAGAATCATTGAGGTTGGAAGAGACCCTTGGGATCATCGAGTCCAACCATCTCCCCTACTCTACAAAGTCCTCCCCTACACCATGTCCCTCAGCACTGCATCTAAACGGCCCTTCAACACAGCCAGGGATGGGGACTCCACCCCCTCCCTGGGCAGCCTCTTCCAACGCCCGACCACTCTTTGGGTGAAAATTTCCTTCCTAATGTTCAATCTAAACCTCCCCTGTTGGAGCTTGAAGCCGTTCCCTCTCCTTCTGTCATTAATGACCTGTGAGAAGAGACCAGCACCAACCTCTCTACAGTGTCCCTTCAAGGAGTTGTAGAGAGTGATGAGGTCTCCCCTCGGCCTCCTCTTCCTCAAACTAAACAGCCCCAGCTCCTTCAGCCGCTCCTCATACGATTTGTCTTCCAGGCCCTTCACTAGTTTTGATGCAGCCCAGGATGGGACTGGCCTTCTGGGCTGCGAGTGCCCACTGCCTGCTCATGTCCAGCTTCTCCTCCACCAGCACCCCCAAGGCCCTTTCCTCAGGGCTGCTTTCCAGTCCCTCACCCCCCAGTTTGTATTGGTTTGTTTTAAGGTTCCCCGTGGGCCCCCCCTCTTCCCGGAGACCCCCCCTCTTCCCGGGGCTCACCGCCAGCAGCTTCCGTCCCTCCTCGTCCAGCGGCGGCACCACTTTGCTGAAGTCCTGGCGGGCCCACTTGGGGAAGCTGGGTTTGTAGTCGGGCATGGCCGTCACCCCGGGCCAGGCCGCCTCGTCCGGCGTCCCCAAGGTGCGGAAGATACGGAAGAGCTGGTCGATCTCCGAGTCCCCCGGGAAGAGGGCACGGCGGGTGATCTGGGGACACGGGGGGATCTCCTAAGGGGATGGGGACACCCCATCCAGGAGGCCCCCGATGGTGGGGGGACAGGGACACCCCATCCAGGAGGCCCCTGATGAGGGGGGACATGGAAACCCTGTTGGGGAGCCCCTCAATGGGAGGGGGGACAGGGACACCCCATCCAGGAGCCCCCCAATGGCGGGGGGACACCCCATCCGGGAGCCCCCTGATGAGGGGGGACATGGAAACCCTGTTGGGGAGCCCCTCAATGGTGGGGGGGACAGGGACACCCCATCCAGGAGCACCTTGATGATGGGGGACAGGGACACCCCATTGGGGAGCCCTCTGATGAGGGGGGGACAGGGACAGCCCATCTGGAAGATCCCTGATCCTGGACACCCCATCCAGGAGCACCTTGATGGTGGGGGGACAGGGACACCCCATCCAGGAGTCCCCAATGCTGGGGGGACAGGACACCCCATCTGGGAACCCCCTGATGAGGGGGGACATGGAAACCCTGTTGGGGAGCCCCTCAATGGTGGGGGGGACAGGGACACCCCATCCAGGAGCACCTTGATGATGGGGGACAGGGACACCCCATCCAGGAGCCCCCTGATGAGGGGGGGACAGGGACACCCCATATGGAACATCCCTGATCCTGGACACCCCATCCAGGAGCACCTTGATGATGGGGGGACGGGGACACCCCGTTGGGGAGCCCCCTGATGAGGGGGGGACAGGGACATCCCACCCCATCTGGAAGCCCCCTGATGGTAGGGGGACCACTTTGCTGAAGTCCTGGCGGGCCCACTTGGGGAAGCTGGGTTTGTAGTCGGGCATGGCCGTCACCCCGGGCCAGGCCGCCTCGTCCGGCGTCCCCAAGGTGCGGAAGATACGGAAGAGCTGGTCGATCTCCGAGTCCCCCGGGAAGAGGGCACGGCGGGTGATCTGGGGACACGGGGGGATCTCCTAAGGGGATGGGGACACCCCATCCAGGAGGCCCCCGATGGTGGGGGGACAGGGACACCCCATCCAGGAGGCCCCTGATGAGGGGGGACATGGAAACCCTGTTGGGGAGCCCCTCAATGGTGGGGGGGACAGGGACACCCCATCCAGGAGCACCTTGATGATGGGGGACAGGGACACCCCATCCAGGAGCCCCCTGATGAGGGGGGGACAGGGACACCCCATATGGAACATCCCTGATCCTAGACACCCCATCCAGGAGTACTTTGATGGTGGGGGAACAGGGACACCCCGTCGGGAAGCCCCTTGATGAGGGGGGACAGGGACACCCCATCCAGGAGCCCCCTGATGAGGGGGGGACAGGGACACCCCATATGGAACATCCCTGATCCTGGACACCCCATCCAGGAGTACTTTGATGGTGGGGGAACAGGGACACCCCGTCGGGAAGCCCCTTGATGAGGGGGGACAGGGACACCCCATCCAGGAGCCCCCTGATGAGGGGGGGACAGGGACACCCCATATGGAACATCCCTGATCCTAGACACCCCATCCAGGAGTACTTTGATGGTGGGGGAACAGGGACACCCCGTCGGGAAGCCCCTTGATGAGGGGGGACAGGGACACCCCATCCAGGAGCCCCCTGATGAGGGGGGGACAGGGACACCCCATATGGAACATCCCTGATCCTAGACACCCCATCCAGGAGTACTTTGATGGTGGGGGAACAGGGACACCCCGTCGGGAAGCCCCTTGATGAGGGGGGACAGGGACACCCCATCCAGGAGCCCCCTGATGAGGGGGGACAGGGACACCCCATCCAGGAGCCCCCTGATGAGGGGGGACAGGGACACCCCATCCAGGAGCCCCCTGATGAGGGGGGACAGGGACACCCCATCCAGGAGCCCCCTGATGAGGGGGGACAGGGACACCCCATCCAGGAGCCCCCTGATGAGGGGGGACAGGGACACCCCATCCAGGAGCCCCCTGATGAGGGGGGACAGGGACACCCCATCCAGGAGCCCCCTGATGAGGGGGGACAGGGACACCCCATCCAGGAGCCCCCTGATGAGGGGGGACAGGGACACCCCATCCAGGAGCCCCCTGATGAGGGGGGACAGGGACACCCCATCCAGGAGCCCCCTGATGAGGGGGGACAGGGACACCCCATCCAGGAGCCCCCTGATGAGGGGGGACAGGGACACCCCATCCAGGAGCCCCCTGATGAGGGGGGACAGGGACACCCCATCCAGGAGCCCCCTGATGAGGGGGGACAGGGACACCCCATCCAGGAGCCCCCTGATGAGGGGGGGACAGGGACACCCCATATGGAACATCCCTGATCCTAGACACCCCATCCAGGAGTACTTTGATGGTGGGGGAACAGGGACACCCCGTCGGGAAGCCCCTTGATGAGGGGGGACAGGGACACCCCATCCAGGAGCCCCCTGATGAGGGGGGGACAGGGACACCCCATATGGAACATCCCTGATCCTGGACACCCCATCCAGGAGTACTTTGATGGTGGGGGAACAGGGACACCCCGTCGGGAAGCCCCTTGATGAGGGGGGACAGGGACACCCCATCCAGGAGCCCCCTGATGAGGGGGGGACAGGGACACCCCATATGGAACATCCCTGATCCTGGACACCCCATCCAGGAGTACTTTGATGGTGGGGGAACAGGGACACCCCGTCGGGAAGCCCCTTGATGAGGGGGGACAGGGACACCCCATCCAGGAGCCCCCTGATGAGGGGGGGACAGGGACACCCCATATGGAACATCCCTGATCCTAGACACCCCATCCAGGAGTACTTTGATGGTGGGGGAACAGGGACACCCCGTCGGGAAGCCCCTTGATGAGGGGGGACAGGGACACCCCATCCAGGAGCCCCCTGATGAGGGGGGGACAGGGACACCCCATATGGAACATCCCTGATCCTAGACACCCCATCCAGGAGTACTTTGATGGTGGGGGAACAGGGACACCCCGTCGGGAAGCCCCTTGATGAGGGGGGACAGGGACACCCCATCCAGGAGCCCCCTGATGAGGGGGGGACAGGGACACCCCATATGGAACATCCCTGATCCTAGACACCCCATCCAGGAGTACTTTGATGGTGGGGGAACAGGGACACCCCGTCGGGAAGCCCCTTGATGAGGGGGGACAGGGACACCCCATCCAGGAGCCCCCTGATGAGGGGGGACAGGGACACCCCATCCAGGAGCCCCCTGATGAGGGGGGACAGGGACACCCCATCCAGGAGCCCCCTGATGAGGGGGGACAGGGACACCCCATCCAGGAGCCCCCTGATGAGGGGGGACAGGGACACCCCATCCAGGAGCCCCCTGATGAGGGGGGACAGGGACACCCCATCCAGGAGCCCCCTGATGAGGGGGGGACAGGGACACCCCATATGGAACATCCCTGATCCTAGACACCCCATCCAGGAGTACTTTGATGGTGGGGGAACAGGGACACCCCGTCGGGAAGCCCCTTGATGAGGGGGGACAGGGACACCCCATCCAGGAGCCCCCTGATGAGGGGGGGACAGGGACACCCCATATGGAACATCCCTGATCCTAGACACCCCATCCAGGAGTACTTTGATGGTGGGGGAACAGGGACACCCCGTCGGGAAGCCCCTTGATGAGGGGGGACAGGGACACCCCATCCAGGAGCCCCCTGATGAGGGGGGGACAGGGACACCCCATATGGAACATCCCTGATCCTAGACACCCCATCCAGGAGTACTTTGATGGTGGGGGAACAGGGACACCCCGTCGGGAAGCCCCTTGATGAGGGGGGACAGGGACACCCCATCCAGGAGCCCCCTGATGAGGGGGGGACAGGGACACCCCATATGGAACATCCCTGATCCTAGACACCCCATCCAGGAGTACTTTGATGGTGGGGGAACAGGGACACCCCGTCGGGAAGCCCCTTGATGAGGGGGGACAGGGACACCCCATCCAGGAGCCCCCTGATGAGGGGGGGACAGGGACACCCCATATGGAACATCCCTGATCCTAGACACCCCATCCAGGAGTACTTTGATGGTGGGGGAACAGGGACACCCCGTCGGGAAGCCCCTTGATGAGGGGGGACAGGGACACCCCATCCAGGAGCCCCCTGATGAGGGGGGGACAGGGACACCCCATATGGAACATCCCTGATCCTAGACACCCCATCCAGGAGTACTTTGATGGTGGGGGAACAGGGACACCCCGTCGGGAAGCCCCTTGATGAGGGGGGACAGGGACACCCCATCCAGGAGCCCCCTGATGAGGGGGGGACAGGGACACCCCATATGGAACATCCCTGATCCTAGACACCCCATCCAGGAGTACTTTGATGGTGGGGGAACAGGGACACCCCGTCGGGAAGCCCCTTGATGAGGGGGGACAGGGACACCCCATCCAGGAGCCCCCTGATGAGGGGGGGACAGGGACACCCCATATGGAACATCCCTGATCCTAGACACCCCATCCAGGAGTACTTTGATGGTGGGGGAACAGGGACACCCCGTCGGGAAGCCCCTTGATGAGGGGGGACAGGGACACCCCATCCAGGAGCCCCCTGATGAGGGGGGGACAGGGACACCCCATATGGAACATCCCTGATCCTAGACACCCCATCCAGGAGTACTTTGATGGTGGGGGAACAGGGACACCCCGTCGGGAAGCCCCTTGATGAGGGGGGACAGGGACACCCCATCCAGGAGCCCCCTGATGAGGGGGGGACAGGGACACCCCATATGGAACATCCCTGATCCTAGACACCCCATCCAGGAGTACTTTGATGGTGGGGGAACAGGGACACCCCGTCGGGAAGCCCCTTGATGAGGGGGGACAGGGACACCCCATCCAGGAGCCCCCTGATGAGGGGGGGACAGGGACACCCCATATGGAACATCCCTGATCCTAGACACCCCATCCAGGAGTACTTTGATGGTGGGGGAACAGGGACACCCCGTCGGGAAGCCCCTTGATGAGGGGGGACAGGGACACCCCATCCAGGAGCCCCCTGATGAGGGGGGGACAGGGACACCCCATATGGAACATCCCTGATCCTAGACACCCCATCCAGGAGTACTTTGATGGTGGGGGAACAGGGACACCCCGTCGGGAAGCCCCTTGATGAGGGGGGACAGGGACACCCCATCCAGGAGCCCCCTGATGAGGGGGGGACAGGGACACCCCATATGGAACATCCCTGATCCTAGACACCCCATCCAGGAGTACTTTGATGGTGGGGGAACAGGGACACCCCGTCGGGAAGCCCCTTGATGAGGGGGGACAGGGACACCCCATCCAGGAGCCCCCTGATGAGGGGGGGACAGGGACACCCCATATGGAACATCCCTGATCCTAGACACCCCATCCAGGAGTACTTTGATGGTGGGGGAACAGGGACACCCCGTCGGGAAGCCCCTTGATGAGGGGGGACAGGGACACCCCATCCAGGAGCCCCCTGATGAGGGGGGGACAGGGACACCCCATATGGAACATCCCTGATCCTAGACACCCCATCCAGGAGTACTTTGATGGTGGGGGAACAGGGACACCCCGTCGGGAAGCCCCTTGATGAGGGGGGACAGGGACACCCCATCCAGGAGCCCCCTGATGAGGGGGGGACAGGGACACCCCATATGGAACATCCCTGATCCTAGACACCCCATCCAGGAGTACTTTGATGGTGGGGGAACAGGGACACCCCGTCGGGAAGCCCCTTGATGAGGGGGGACAGGGACACCCCATCCAGGAGCCCCCTGATGAGGGGGGGACAGGGACACCCCATATGGAACATCCCTGATCCTAGACACCCCATCCAGGAGTACCCCCCCTCATCATCCTCGTGGCCCTCCTCTGGACCCTCTCCATCAGGTCCATGTCCTTCTTCTATTGAGGGCTCCAGCCCTGCACACAAGACTCCAGGTGAGGTCTCACCAGAGCAGAGCAAAGTGGCAGAATCCCCTCTCTGGACCTGCTGGCAACGCAGCTTTTCATAGAATCATAGAATCATTGAGGTTGGAAGAGACCCTTGGGATCATCGAGTCCAACCATCTCCCCTACTCTACAAAGTCCTCCCCTACACCATGTCCCTCAGCACTGCATCTAAACGGCCCTTCAACACAGCCAGGGATGGGGACTCCACCCCCTCCCTGGGCAGCCTCTTCCAACGCCCGACCACTCTTTGGGTGAAAATTTCCTTCCTAATGTTCAATCTAAACCTCCCCTGTTGGAGCTTGAAGCCGTTCCCTCTCCTTCTGTCATTAATGACCTGTGAGAAGAGACCAGCACCAACCTCTCTACAGTGTCCCTTCAAGGAGTTGTAGAGAGTGATGAGGTCTCCCCTCGGCCTCCTCTTCCTCAAACTAAACAGCCCCAGCTCCTTCAGCCGCTCCTCATACGATTTGTCTTCCAGGCCCTTCACTAGTTTTGATGCAGCCCAGGATGGGACTGGCCTTCTGGGCTGCGAGTGCCCACTGCCTGCTCATGTCCAGCTTCTCCTCCACCAGCACCCCCAAGGCCCTTTCCTCAGGGCTGCTTTCCAGTCCCTCACCCCCCAGTTTGTATTGGTTTGTTTTAAGGTTCCCCGTGGGCCCCCCCTCTTCCCGGAGACCCCCCCTCTTCCCGGGGCTCACCGCCAGCAGCTTCCGTCCCTCCTCGTCCAGCGGCGGCACCACTTTGCTGAAGTCCTGGCGGGCCCACTTGGGGAAGCTGGGTTTGTAGTCGGGCATGGCCGTCACCCCGGGCCAGGCCGCCTCGTCCGGCGTCCCCAAGGTGCGGAAGATACGGAAGAGCTGGTCGATCTCCGAGTCCCCCGGGAAGAGGGCACGGCGGGTGATCTGGGGACACGGGGGGATCTCCTAAGGGGATGGGGACACCCCATCCAGGAGGCCCCCGATGGTGGGGGGACAGGGACACCCCATCCAGGAGGCCCCTGATGAGGGGGGACATGGAAACCCTGTTGGGGAGCCCCTCAATGGTGGGGGGGACAGGGACACCCCATCCAGGAGCACCTTGATGATGGGGGACAGGGACACCCCATTGGGGAGCCCTCTGATGAGGGGGGGACAGGGACAGCCCATCTGGAAGATCCCTGATCCTGGACACCCCATCCAGGAGCACCTTGATGGTGGGGGGACAGGGACACCCCATCCAGGAGTCCCCAATGCTGGGGGGACAGGACACCCCATCTGGGAACCCCCTGATGAGGGGGGACATGGAAACCCTGTTGGGGAGCCCCTCAATGGTGGGGGGGACAGGGACACCCCATCCAGGAGCACCTTGATGATGGGGGACAGGGACACCCCATCCAGGAGCCCCCTGATGAGGGGGGGACAGGGACACCCCATATGGAACATCCCTGATCCTAGACACCCCATCCAGGAGTACTTTGATGGTGGGGGAACAGGGACACCCCGTCGGGAAGCCCCTTGATGAGGGGGGACAGGGACACCCCATCCAGGAGCCCCCTGATGAGGGGGGGACAGGGACACCCCATATGGAACATCCCTGATCCTGGACACCCCATCCAGGAGCACCTTGATGATGGGGGGACGGGGACACCCCGTTGGGGAGCCCCCTGATGAGGGGGGGACAGGGACATCCCACCCCATCTGGAAGCCCCCTGATGGTAGGGGGACAGGGACACCCCATCTGGAAGATCCCTGATCCTGGACACCCCATCCAGGAGCACCTTGATGGTGGGGGGACAGGGACACCCCAGCGGGGAGCCCCCCTGATGAGGGGGGGACAGGGACACCCCATCTGGAAGATCCTCGATGGTGAGGGGACAGGGACACCCCATTGGGGAGCCCCCTAATGAGGGGGGACAGGGACACCCCATCCAGGAGCCCCCTGATGAGGGGGGACAGGGACACCCCATCCAGGAGCCCCCCAATGGCGGGGGGACACCCCATCCGGGAGCAAAGATGCAGCCCAAGCTCCAGATGTCGACGGCCGTGGAGTAGTACTTGCAGCCCAGCAGGATCTCGGGGGCTCGGTACCAGAGTGTCACCACCTGCCATGGGGAGAAGAAGGTTGGGGGACACACACACACACATGTGATGGGCACTGGGACACCCCCCAACCCCAAAACTTCATTCAACACCCCCCCTGGGCCCCACCTCATGGGTGTAGGTACGGACGGGCACCCCGAAAGCGCGGGCCAACCCGAAATCGGCCAGTTTGATGGCGCCGTCGGCGTTGATGAGGAGGTTCTGGGGCTTGAGGTCGCGGTGCAGCACGCGGTGAGCGTGGCAGAAGGCCAGGCCCTGCAGCAGCTGGAACAGGTAGCTCTGCGGGGACACAAGAGGGGGGGTCACCACGGCCAAGACCCCCCCCACACCTCCCCATGGGGCTGGGGACACCCCCCAAGCCCCCCGCCGTCCTGCCCTCCCCTCACCTTGATGAGGGGCAGAGCGATGCCGCTGATGGAGGAGGAGTCCATGAACTTCTTCAGGTCCTGGTGCAGGAACTGATGAGGGGGGGACAGGGACCCCCCATCTGGAAGATCCTCGATGGTGAGGGGACAGGGACACCCCATTGGGGAGCCCCCTAATGAGGGGGGACAGGGACACCCCATCCAGGAGCCCCCTGATGAGGGGGGACAGGGACACCCCATCCAGGAGCCCCCCAATGGCGGGGGGACACCCCATCCGGGAGCCCCCTGATGAGGGGGGACATGGAAACCCTGTTGGGGAGCCCCTCAATGGTGGGGGGGACAGGACACCCCACCTGGGAGCCCCCCGATGAGGGAGGGACAGTCCCGGTGACTGGCTGCACCCCGAGTCCGTGCCCTTCAGGGTCCCACAGCCACAGCCCCCCATGGCCTGGGCCCCACCTCATGGGTGTAGGTACGGACGGGCACCCCGAAAGCGCGGGCCAACCCGAAATCGGCCAGTTTGATGGCGCCGTCGGCGTTGATGAGGAGGTTCTGGGGCTTGAGGTCGCGGTGCAGCACGCGGTGAGCGTGGCAGAAGGCCAGGCCCTGCAGCAGCTGGAACAGGTAGCTCTGCGGGGACACAAGAGGGGGGGTCACCACGGCCAAGACCCCCCCCACACCTCCCCATGGGGCTGGGGACACCCCCCAAGCCCCCCGCCGTCCTGCCCTCCCCTCACCTTGATGAGGGGCAGAGCGATGCCGCTGATGGAGGAGGAGTCCATGAACTTCTTCAGGTCCTGGTGCAGGAACTCGAAGACCAGGTAGAGCTTGTTCTCCGTGTGGATCACGTCCAGCAGCCTGAGGAACCCCCAGCGCCTGGGCACGAGCCACGGGGCAACCCACAGCCACGGGGTGCCCACTGCCAGGGGGGTCCCATGGCCACGGGGGTCACCACGGCCAAGGGGGTCCCATGGCCACGGGGGTCACCACGGCCAAGGGGGTCCCATGGCCATGGGGGTCACCACAGCCATGATGGCCCACAACCACAAGGACCCCACAGCCAAGGGGGTCCCATGGCCACAAGGTCCCCACGGCCAAGGGGGTCCCATGGCCACAAGGGTCCCACAGCCATGATGGTCCCACAACCACAAGGACCCCATAGTCATAGGGGTCCCATGGCCATGGGGGTCCCCACGGCCACAACTCCCCCCAGTCACGAGGCTCCTGTGGCCACAGGGCTTGGTGTGGCCACAGCTCCCCACGATCATGAGGGTCCTGTGGCCACAGGAGTCCCACGGCCAGGGGGTCCCATGACCATGGGGGTCCCCACGGCCACAGGTCCCCATAGTCATGAGGGTCCCGTGACCACGGGGGTCCCACAGCCAGAGCTCCCCATGGTCATGGTCATGAGGGTCCCATGGTCACGGGGGTTCCATGGCCACAGCTCCCCATGGACACGGGGGTCCCCACAGCCACAGCCCCCCACCGCTACGGGGGTCCCATGGCCACAGGTGTCCCCACACCCCCCCCCAACCAGGGGGGGGTCCCCATGGATCACCCTGTGCCTGCGTGGGCTCCCCCCAACCCTGGGGCCACCAGGATGGGGCCAGATCTGCGCTGAGCCCCCATTAGCCCCCCGGACCCCCCCTC